CTCTTCTGTCTTTGTAATGAACATCTGCACTCTTCTTGGATGATACCCTTGATATCCTCCCACAACTCATCTGGTCTTCGTTCATTCGTGTTCAAAGGCCTCAAACCTGTTCTTGAAATGGTTCTGAAGCTCCTCGCTTATATTCTAGTGAGGGGAAATGAAACATACTTCTTAAAACATAGAAATCATGTTGTTGTTAGATGCCATCAAGAGCAACTCATAGTGACCCCATGAATGACAGATCTGAACCCTGTTCTAGTCTGTGATATAATCATCATCTCTGATGTACTTGAGCCCACTGTTACAGTCACTGTGTTAATTCATCTCGTTGAGGGTCTTCCTCTCCTTTTCTGACCTTCTCAACAATGATGTCTCTCCAAGAAATAGCCCCTCCTCACAACATGCCCAAAGTATAGGAGATGATGCTTCCTCATCTTTGTATCTAGGGAGCATTCTGGCTGCACTTTCTCTAAGACGTGCCTGTTCATTCTTTTGGTAGTCCATACAATATTCAGTACTCTTCTTCAACACCACATCTCAAAAGTCCTCAATTCCTCTGTCATTCTTATTCATTGCCCAGTTTTCAGATGCAGAACAAGTGATTGGAAAGCTCATGACCTGAATAAGGTGCATCTTAAGGCTTTAAACTGCTATCATTGCTCCTAAGTATTTTAGACAGTTCCTTGGTTCCTTGACAGCATCCTTTCTCAATGAAACACTTTTTTTTTTGTTTTTAATTAATTGCTGGTACCAGGGGTGTTGATTGTGGATCCAAAGAAGAGGAACTGTTGACAATTTCAATCTTTTCTCCATCTATTATGTTGCTGCCTGTTGGCCCAGTAATAAAGATTTTTATCTTCTTGATGTTGAGATGTACTATCTATTGAAGGCTGTAGTCTTTGATCATCTGCAGCAAATGTTTCAAGTCCTCATTTTAAACAAGCAGGGCTGTGTCATCTGCATAACGCAGGTTGTTGAGGCGGCGGCTTCTGAGCCTGATGCCACACACCTTGGCTTCACAAATAATTTGCTCAGCATATAGATTCCATAGGTATGGAGAAAGGATACAGCCCTGATGCACACCTTTCTTGATTTCAGACCACGCAGTGAAATTATGAACATTGTAGATAAAGGTTCAAAGTGGCCTACTGGGCTAAGGGTTATTATGCTGCCAACCCAAAGTCAAGCATTTCAAATCCACCAGCAGCTTCTTGGGAGAAAGATGGGCAATGTTATGATTTATACTCTGAAAATCTGCTAAGGGTCTGCTATAAGGCAGTGCTGCCTCAAGACTGAGTTTTCATATCCTGTGCCCATTTTTCTATTGGATTATTTACCTTTATCTTGTTGTGGTGCTCAAGTATTTCATAAATTCTGGATATAAGTCCCTT